GAGATGGGGCTTTTCTGCATGACTCATGACTGCTTTTATTGTAGGGAATTTTTTTTTCTGTTCAAATTACTCTAACATGCAAACCTAGCATCACTATTTCAGCGTTTATAGCACAGCTGTTTATAATAAATTGTCATATTAAACAGAAAGTTAACTCCAGTATGCATCCAAGACGTAGAAAACAAAACAAAACCACAAAAAGAATGTATCAGGGAAGCATCATAAAATGCTATTTCTACTTGGAGGAGCAAGCGCCACATCTTCTGCCAAGCAGAAATGAAGCAGTTGCTTTCTCCTGCAAGCATTACCTCAGCCTCTTCTGGACAGATAGGTTTTTATCTATATCTCCATCTTCATGAGTCACTGTATAAACTGTTTGGCTGCCCTAAACTGGACTAAAGAGCAAGAAATACAAAGAGCAGGTGTCAGCACACAGTGGAAACCACAGTTCTTAGTTCCTCTTAGCTCCCTAGAGGCACTGCCCTGTACAGGAGCACGAGGGGGACCGGCAGCGCCCCATGGGATGTGTTCTCACCAGAGGCTCTCCAGACAGGAGGGACAGAGCTGCTCAGACAGTCCCTGCTCCCAGTTGCGGCTGGACCAAAAGCAGTCAAAGAAGTCATTGTTAATCTTAGTCAAAAGATCAGTAGATGACACTGCCCTGGGCAGCATCTGGAATGAATGATGTGGCAACAATCAGTTAAGTGTTTCGGTTACCGTGTTGAAGAGATTTTCACCCAGCCTCTCCACCAGACACTCCAAAACCAGGTGATCTGAGATGAGTGAAGGCCTGAGTGATTGTCAGTGATTGTGTCCCATCTCAAGTCACTAGGTCTTAAGTATTTCTAATGGTTTCACATCTTTCAAGAGATCTTAGTCATGCAATAATTGTATTGTTTGAATCAGTTTATTCTAGTCATGACAGGACATATCCCAATTTACATATTATTTTGTACTCCCAACTCCCTCATTAATGTTTAATGCCTCAATTCAGCCATCAATCCCCACTCAGTGGAACGATTCAGCTAAGTGCGTATTTAAATTTAAGCACATTCTTAAATGCTTTGCTGAAATGAAGCAGTCTTACAAACATGCTGACATTCTTTGCTGAATTGGATTTTCATACATACAAGAATTCACATGCTATAGGCACTTGGGAGAGGAGCCTTCCTCTTCCTCATGTGCATTCAGGTCCAAATGCATGGTTTGTGAAGTACATAGCATTCTTTATTGTTAAAGCATTGCATTTGTTTGATTCCTTCAAGTGATCTATTTCAAAATGAAGTTTGAAAGGTAACTATGACTGAAGATCTCTGCTCATAGTAAACTGATCAGATTTAGGTAATGCCTGATCATTGGCATTATTCAGATCTCAAAGTAAGGGAAAATGAGTAAACCTTTGCACAGATGTAATTTTGTCCCTTGTAGGCCAATTAGTAAAGGTAGAAAAACAACAAACAAACAAACAAACAAACAAACAAACAAACAAACAAACGCCAAACTAATAAAATGTACTGACACATTTCTCAAACTGGGATATTTACCTTTGTCCAACGGGACTTTTACACTGTGACCCAATTCTTTTAACTTTCCATATGGAAAAGATAATGATATGTTGCTCCAGAACTTTGATTTGGTGGGTGTGAGGGAAGAATTTGTATATTTGATTTTCCTTTTCAAGCTCTTTTACCCATTCCTTCCTACATGAGAATGAATGCAATAAATACCCTTCAGGCCTCTGCAGCTCTAGGGAAAACACAATTTCCTATAGTCACATATGTTCATTGCTGCTGGTAGTGGTGGAAGCTATAGTAGATTAATTTGCTTTAATTATTATTTCATACATACTTTTGCCTAAGTATTAAAAAAATCTTAATAAAGTACTTATTTTTAAAACTGTAAATATCTGAGAGATGTTAGCACTTGCCTTTACAAGACAGCTGTCACCAGCAAGAGCTCTTACATAATCTGTTTACCTTACAAATCTCCCAAGGTATCCAAATCTTCTCTTGAATATGGGATGGGGGAGCTGAGGGCAGACAGTAATCTGAACAGGCAATTTTGTGCTAAAGACACTCCTTACAACTTTTTGGAGATTACCTCAAAGTTTGGTTTAAATTTGTCCTAGTTATGGGTAAAAGTCAGAGGAAGGAAGCTTTTTTGTACACCTTTTAATCTGTTCAACCATATTCCTAATTTTATACCAAATCTTTTTTCAGTCAAAGTACATGTTCATTATATACTCTGTAATTTTATGCAAGGAGTATGTCCATGACAGCAATAAAGAGCTTTGCATCTTTCAGCTTATGCAAGAATAAAGACTTATTACAGCTTGACCTAATCTATATCCACCAGTCCTATTTGACTAGTTTAAACTGAAGAAACTGATTTCAGGTTTTCAACCAAATTCTGTGAACAGCCTGACATTTAAAGACAGAATCTCCCTTCTCTCCCACTCACTCCTCCTCTTGTCAAAAAAACTCAAACCAAACCAAACCAAACCAAACCAAACCAAACCAAACCAAACCAAACAAACAAACAGCACATGCTAGAATTCTCTGAGAGGTAAAGAGTCATTTTTGGAAAAAAATGGGAAAGCCTTAATCAATCAAGACCTGAACAGCGCACAGACCTGTCTATCTCATTATCTGCAAACTAGGCAGGAAAAATGCTGTGACCTAATTGGTATCTCTCAAGCTATAGACAGTAACTGGACAGTATTTTTTGTGCAGCATTTGCTTCTTTTCATCAAAACCTTTCTGAGTATGAGGTATTAGCCAGGGACTTTCTGATCTGTGTCATTTCCCTTACTTCCGTCTATTACCACAGTAATATTCTATTTATCATTCTTCAGTTTTAGCTAAATTGTAAATGCTTTTTGGGATTTTTCCTGCTGAGATGTTTTTGGGCATAGGGAACTTCCCTGTGTAGAGTTTCAGACAGTCCCAAAAAGTCAGTTGTTGGTCATGAACCTTGAGAACTAAGACCAGGGCTCAGAAGCACATGCAAACACATAAGCAAGCCAGTTGTTGGAAACTGGAGATGAGGTTTCCTCTTCCTGAAGTGCATGGAGTGGAGGGCACTGCTCTGAGTGCAGAATGGAAGGCACACCTCAACTGGCAGCGAGTGTCCCAGGAAGCATCTACTGCCAGACCTGCTGCAGAAGCTCTGGGAGTACTTACATGGCAACACCACACAAGCCTTACAGCTGCTGCTGCCTCACTGTTGTTAGTTCTTACAACACCTACTTCAACCTGAGAAAGGATTTGCTCTACAGCATTTGCAGGAGTATTTGCTGTCTAAGTTCAATGTCCCACATTGGAGGTCAGCAGACTGCAGACATACAAAATCAATACCAAAAACTGCAGCTACTAAGGGAAGCTTCCACAATTGGCCATTAAGCACAGTTATTGATGGCAGACTGTACTGGTTACAATGCATGTACTAACACCAACCTGTGTTTTTGGAAGACAGCATTTTCAAGGCTTTGGTTCAGGGGCCCTTGAGTGAACATGGGCTTCTCCACACAGCATGAGGCTTCACAGACTCAAAGCAACCTGTACCATACATGACATCTGCGTGCACTGCTCCTTCAAAACAAGGTACATCAAGGTACCTTGCCAAAGTAACCTGCCACCTTAAATTCCCTTTCCTGCCATCGTGCTCCCTGCCCCCCCTTTAATACTGCTGTCTACCAACGTGTTGGCTTTGGTCATATTGTCATAACGAAAGAAGCAAGCCAGTCTGTGTCACACATGGGGATTTCAGGAAGCTAATTAACAGGAGGGAGCCGTGGGAGTTTCTGAGAAGCTGAGCTCTGATGTAACCCAAAGCCATGGACTAGTAAGCTTTCAGATGCTCCAGCCATACATAATTTATGTTTGTCAGTCACATGGCAGCAAAGCTCATTTTGCATAATGGATGCTTGTGATGGAAAAGTGCTTACAGGGTTTCAGCAGAGCAGACAGACCTTTCATCTATCTGTATCAAAGAGAAATTAAACAGTTATGGGAGTTTGCAGCATCCCTGTTGAAAACTCTGAAAGGAAGGCTTTAAAGATGTGCAAAACCTTCTAGATGGCACTTGTGATCACAGAATCATAGAATGGCCTGGTGGTAAGGGGCCATAAAGAGTCCCAAACTCCCCTGCCACAGGTGGGACACCTTCCACCAGACCAAGGCTGCTCAAGGCCCCATCCAACCTGGCTTTGAACACTTCCAGGAACAGAGAATCCACAGCTTCTCTGGGCAGCCTGGGCCAGTGCCACGCACACTCATAGTAAAGATTTTTTTCCTAACACATAATCTAAACGTACACTTAGTCTGAAACTATTCCCTCTTCTCCTGCTACTACGTGATATTCAGCAGTACCGCCGCACGATCGGCCATTTACACCGCTTTCCGATTTGGACAAGAATTCCTTTTCTCTCCTGCAGTTCCTACAAAAAAACAGGCCCATCAGGCGGCAGAGCAGTGGGTGGGTGCCAGGAATGCCGCGGCTCGCCCGAATTCTCCGCAGGGCGCGGACGCCGCTGCGGGAAGCGCCGCGG